TGGCACAATGTGATCCAACATGCCAGTGAAATAAATATTAAAAAAAAATCAGTTAACTTACTTTTAAAATGTTGTAATTATCTTTTATATTAAATTCAAGATATGATTAAGACTGAAAAGCAAATTACTAGAATAATTCTGACCTTAAGAACAAAGTAAATATATAAAGTAAGTATAAAATTCTTCACATAAACTTTCCACTTGAAAAATCTTTAGAAATTTTGGTCATTGTCCAAATGTATTATCTCTGTTATCATAGATGGTATATTAGCAACTAGGTAATCATGATGATTCAAAAATTCTAGTTGGGGCTGAGGGAGTATCTCAGTGGTAGAGCATGTGTTTAGCATGCACGAGGTCCTGGGTTCAATTCCCAGCACTGCAACGAAGAAAAAATACGTTTTTCAGACACCAAGTCACTTGGACCATAGTTAACAATATTCCATTTATTTTGTAGTAGTATCATGAAAAAAATGGGCCTGAAGTACTACAAAAGAGTCATGTGCATTTTGAATCAACAGAGCACAATCACATTCATTTAATAACAATCACATTATTTAATAACTTAATAACATTTTAGTATTCAGGGAATTTTTAATGAAAATTAAATCTCTGAAAATTTGAGAGAGATATAATGTCTTAATAGCAACACTCGGTCAATCAAAACCACGAAACAGTAATACTTGATACAGACAGAATAAGAGTATTTTTGGTTCTCAAATTGCCAAAGTGAGTAACTATCAAACAAAGATTCTAAATGGAACTTAAATCGTGTTAGTTTATGTTAGTTTATGAAGCCTGCATGTCATGCTTCAAAAATGGTAAAAGAAAAAATTCCAACATAGACTAAGAACTAGGCCTTCCTCTATTCTGGAGTTAACATTTGAACACTTTTTTATTAGTACATGTTTGCAGGACATGACTACATTTGTTGTGAGGAGTCAGTATATGTACATGACACATCTTAATTCTTGTTTTCATCTCCTACATTCCCATTCCCATTCCCATCTGTGTATGTGCGCGTGCACACACGCTTGCTTACAAACATTCACACAGAAACACATGAAAAAAGAAAGACATTTCAATTGATATACACTAAGTGGAAAGGTTCTTGTGGGTTTTACAGGTCTGCCAAGGAGCTCTCAGAAAAAAAATATCTGGGGCCATATATACATTTTTTCATTCAATTAAAGGAGATAAATATATTTTCCATGAAAAGATTCTGGGGTAACTTTTTAAAACTTTATTACTCACTTTTAAAAAAAAAATTCATTTTAGCGGAAGGCAGTTAGAAATTATTATCTAACTTACCTTACATCACAATCCCAGATTTTTGTATAGCTATAGCATTAGAACTTAATGCCACTTTCTTATTGCTTCTGGGCTATAAAGTAGTTCTAACCAATCTGATGACATTTAGGGGTTACCCTCTATGGTAGGGCATAGAATTCTTTAGAGGATAAAATTCTCATTTAGTGTAAAATTCATACTGTGAAAACATTCTCATACTGTGGAAACTCAGAAAATACATTTCTAAATTGATGTTTCCAGGCAAAAAGAGAAAACTGAGTGTCAAAATGAAATGGAATATTGTTAACTATGGTCCATAAGGTATACTTTGCCATTCAACTGGTTCAGGTAGGACTCGTATTGCTTACTAGTAAACTTTGGTCAGAAGCCTTTCCTAGGCCAGAAAGGGAGGCAAGGAATTCATTACTCTCCCCCTTTTTTCTGAAAACAAATATTTGATTTTTAAAGTTTGAATTCTACCCATTTCACACATTATGAATAAAGAAACATTTAAAACTTAATTTTTCCAAAGAAAGTTAAAAATTACTTCTTCCTTAAAGCTTTAGTTAAAATAAAGCTAATATGGTTGTAATTCATTTTAACAACACTCACAAAGAAACCCAAGCACAAAATTAAACATAAAAGATACACTGTCTTTTTTGGTTGTTAACACATCCAGCCTCCAAATAGCAAACTCCTGGTTACTTTTTAAAGTGAGTAGATTAAAAGCAAGATTTAAAAAAGGTCTAATACATGTCAAGTTATAGGTTCTATGAATTAAATTGTTAGTTGTAAAACTCTGCTGGTGGTCATAGATTTTTAATATAAATGAGGCTAGAAATGACAAGGGATGGGGGAAGGGACTTTCCTTCTTGAATAGTTAAAGAGGGAAATTTTTAGCTAGAATGAATTATGTGAAAGAAGAAAGAACATTTAAAATCAGATTCTAGAAAATAATCTGAAAATAAAGAGGAAATTAAAATACAAGAATAGGACTGTAGTATTGAAAGATTTTTAAAAGTTTCTAAACTTTTTTTAGGAAGCAAAACTATTAACTCAGAAAATACATAATTGCTAAGTAAAAATAATTTTTTCTTTTCCCACATAGGTTTCTAATTCAATAATCTAAATATTAAATTACATGATGATTTTGCAATCATTAGAACACATAAATAAAATGGCATAATCATGTAGCTGTTATGGTGTGTGTATGTGTATGGAGTAATTTAGAATTTTATTAGCACAGATCCTTTAGAATGAGGTCCTAGGTTTTACTAATCTGGTGAAGTCAAGTTTAGTTTAAAAAGCTATTGTGTTCAGATTCAAGTTGTTACAAAGACTTAATTTTTACCTCATGAAATTGTTGAACAGTGAGCATTTCTAGAACTTTCTCCTTCAGAATATGTTTTCAGGAATTTTTTATTTGGAACATTTTAGTTCAGTTATATTAGTCAACTTTATCTTTTTTATATATTTGAAAAATAATATTGTTTAATTTAAATAATTTCTTTAAAAAAGAAAGTGATTTTTAGATAGATCTTAATTTGTAGTTGCTAAAATTGAAGTTGTTCTGTAAATGTCATTCTAGTCTTACTGGTTGAGAAGCAGATAAAAGCAACTGAAAAGCCCTCAAATGTAAAGATTTCCAAACTGGATACATTAATCTATCTCCCCTCAAAAATTCATTTGGAGTAAGAAATAGACACAGTTTGCTTAGAAAAATAAATTAAACCATTATCAAGTAGAAAGTTCCAGAGTTTTAAGCACACCGATTTAAATGAATATACAGCAGTGATTCTAACCTAGTTCATTACTTGGTCATTGCTCTGACTGATGCCATATTCATGTGTGAGGGCTACTAGAAGTCAATAGATGGCAGTCCATCGCCTAATAAAAGAGCTGAAGATGACTAAAATCAGCATCCATATTGCTTTTACTCAAGACTGAATACTGCTTAAATGCACACATTTAGATATTGCCCAGATAGTGATAAAATAATTATTTGACTTTTATTTTAAATGGACTGATAAATATGGACACATTATCTATAAGCATGAGTGTTACATTTATACCTGTATATAATAAGCTCATTAACACTCGATAATTATAAATTGTGTTAGTTATTTCAATATTATTTTGAAAAATTAACTAGGATTATTTTGAAAAATTAACCAGAAACAAAGTTTTCAAATTGAATTTGTTATGCTCACAAAATATTGTAGAATACATTATATTCTACAAAAGGGAAATTCATTTTGTTTTCATTTATTTTACACCAAATCTTCTTTTTACCATGTTGTGAAAAGCTAAAATATTAAATAAACCTTCAAATATTTGTTATATCTGAAACCAATATTTATCCCTCAATGACAATTAATGTAAAAGAACACTGCAAATGAAAAGAGTAGTACTTTCTATACTTCAGGTTTCAAAACTGGAATTCTCTACATTATGGAGAAAGCTAAAAGAAATATATTGTCAAATCTATTAGCACATTACTTAAAACATAATGACAAACAAATACTGGTATATGGTTACAGAGAGTAGCTCAGTGATCTTGAAAAGTACAAGATATGATCAGATCAAATTTAAACTATAATAATTTCACATTATATCAGGATAAAAAACTGCTATATAAGCACAAACAATATATTCTGATGAATTACATCTGTAATATATATGGGTATGTATATATAACAAACTTCTATTTGGGAGATTTAGTTGAGGCATAGCTGAGGAATTATAGCTTTCTACTGAAGATCTCTAAAAAAATTACAAGGTGATAACAAAATGTGAAAATAAACCACCTGATATTATTCCTGACTTTCTGGGGCTGTGAGAGAATGGTGGCATGAGTCTATCAGCCTGTTTACTTTGTATTTCTGTAAGAAGAGAGGAGTAAGAAAGACATGCTTTGCAAAAATTTGTCTCTTTTTAAAATGACCTTTCTATATATAAAACCTTTTTAATATGTCAAGCTTTTAACATTTATTAATTAGTATATATTACATTATATAACTGTGCGATTAAAAGAAAACTGTCTCAACACAACACATTTTATACACTAAAAATGACTAGTAGAGCTATGGTGAATTCATCATAGCACGGCTATGGTGAATTACTGAACTTATTTAATACTTTGTAATTAAAGTAAAATCATAATAAAAGAAAGCTAGAGAACTAAATAATTTGGTATTAAAATATCTACAATTCAAATACATCAAGAAGGGCTTAAGGATAGGAAGTTAAATTATGTTATATGAAGGATACATTTAGCTTTTTCTAGCTTTACTTAAAAATGTGTAAATATTTTAGTAAAGAGAGAAAAATTATAATAGATACTATGGACTATATGCTTGTGGACTTTGAATGATACAATATTTGAAAAAAAAAAAACTATTACTGTTTTTATGGCTTCTAGAATAGTTCTCTTCTCCAATAAATACAGTTAAGGAAGATGGAGAGACAGTATGATATAATCATTAAATGATGTAAGTAATAATCAAAATCTTTTAAGAACAGGAAGATAAAGAATAAGGTAGTAGGCAGGAGAGAAGAAAAAAGTACATTATTGCTTTCTCAGTACAAAAACTCTTCAGATGTTTATTATCTTCCAGCAGAAGATGCTTGTCTATATTTTATGGTCAGCAGTTCAGAGAAGGGTGAATAGGCTGGGTCTTGGGGAAAATAAAAAAGGTGTTTCTACTCAC